TATATATAACTTGATAATCTTGAATTTACCTGAATGTGTATAATGAAAAAAAAAATTTTTATGAAATTATTTTCTTATTTAATACTTTTTAGTTTTTTAAAAAAAAAAATTATAAAAAAAAAAAAATTTAATTCAAAATTAATCAATTAATTAATCTATAACTATTTCCTAATTTATTTAAAACATCAATTCCAAAATAAGTAAAATTTGTATTGCAGAAAAAATGTAGATCTGCTACAATCAAAATTGGTAATAATTTGAAACAGGGGAGGTTTTTTTTTTTTTAAAATTTTTTAATTTTCAAATAAATTAAACACATCTTCCTTTTAAAGAAATCATTTTTCCATTTATATTATTTTATTATAATTCATTTCATAATTGATATGTGGAAAAGGAATAAAGTAAGAATTTGGTAGTTCATTATATGATAATCAAATTGGTATGATAGCTGAATGAAAATACATTAAAAAAAAAAAAAAAAAAAAAAAAAAAAAAAAAAAATTTTATTTAATTTTTAAAAATTTAATTTTTTTTTAAATTCTTCTTTAAAATTTTTAAAACATTTTTTTATTTTTTTTTTTAATTAATGATTACCAATGAAGGCGCTTTTTTAAAAAAAAAATTTTTTTTAAATTTTGAATTTTATTAAAAAAGGATATTTTTATTTTCCTTTTCAAAAACCTTCACAAAAATCATATTGATAAAATCTAATATTATGGTGCTATTTTTCCACTTGTGTTGATGCTTATATTAGCAGGTTGACCTCTTTATTTCCCACATTACCATTAATCTAAAAATATAATATAATATTATTTTCTTTTTTAATTAATAAAAATCTCAACCAATACAAAATAGTCGAATTATTGTTTTTTTATTTTTGATTATCCATTTTTATCGTTTTTTATCCAAATTTTTAATCACTACTTTGTTTAATTTTATATTAATATTGTATTAGTTTAATAATAATTTAATTAAATAGTTATAATTAATAAAGAGGAAATATTTTAGAAAGAATGTAGTGTCAATCTATTTGATAATCATTTAAATGGAGGAATTTAGCATTATTATTTGTGAATTAATTTTAATTTTTTTTTTTTTTTAATATCATTGTATAATTGATTTTTTTTTTTTGCAAATATAATTGTGTTCTTAATAAGTGAATATCTAAAGAAGGATAATTAGAAATTAAAAAGAAAATAAAGAAAGTATGGTGCTATATCTGTTTTATTATGTCAAAAAAAAAAAAAAATCTTTGGAATAACACTTTGTGATAACCCAAAACAAAAATATCAAAAATAAACTATATATTAATATTATTCTGTTGCTTTTATATTTTTTTTTTTTTTTTTTTTATTTTATTATTTTATTTAACATGCACACAAAACTTAATATCTTTTACCAATTTTTTTATAGGTTTTTTTTTATCTATAAATTGCTTTATAGTCAAAGATGTATCAACAATTAAAGTAAATAAGCAAAAAATTGCTGATTTAAATGGTCAATGTACGTACTCATTTTTAATAAAGTGCTCTCCAACCAATGAAGAATCTTGTGAAACTCTTAGCTATAATGGAAATAGGTTTTTCAATAGCTTGGGTTCTAATAGAATAGTTGGTAATGGAACCAGTTATTGTTTTCAAATCAATATTATTACTCAAATTGGTATTGCTAGTGTCGAAATAAATTCAAATCTAGTAATTGACAACCTTTCTTGTTTAGGTAAATATTTTAATAATTTTCAATTTTTTTTTTTAAATTTATTAAATTAATTTTATTTTTATCTATACTTTTTTTTACAATAGTACTAGATTTAAATATATGCGAATTTAAACCTATTGGTAATGTATCATTTAATACAGGAGACCCGTTTACGACACATATTTCCCGGTTGTATGAAGCAGTTAGTACTAGTGGTGATATTGACTTCTCAAAAGTTGATTATATAGATATGAATCCAATTACATCAACAAAAGAACTACAATCATATATTGGTATTCAAATTCCAAACTATAAAGAATCTGTTATTATTGACCCAGACTTTTCAGTTCTTGTAGATTCATACTCTGCGTCATCCAAATCAGACTCTATTTGCCCATCCAACTCCAAATTAAGTGCTACTAAAATTGCAGGTATTATTGTGTGGCTTTTATCTTAATAGCAATTATTTCAGTTTCATATTATTTTATCAAAAAAAATAGAAACAAAATTTTTTTTTTAAACATGGAAATTAAAATGAAGAAATTTAACCAAACAGATAATCAAAAATAATCGAAAAAAAGTTGTGGGACTTACCAAAAAAAAAATTTTTAAAAAAAAATATCATTTTTCGAAAAACAAACGAAATTTTTTGGAAATAAAAAAAATTTTAGAAATAACAACAATTTTTTTTTTTTTTTTTTTTTTTTTTTTTTGTATTTGTTTTTTTAATTAAGTTTTATTTAATTTACTAAAATAATAAAAATAAATCAAAAAATCAAAATACGAAAAAAAAAAAAAAAAAGAATGGGAAACCGTTAATCTGGTTCCAAAAACACTCCAATTTCGACATTTGTTTTTAAAAAAGTTTCAATTATTATTATTATTATTATTTTATTTTTTTTAATTTTTTTTTTTTTAAATTTTATTTTTTTTTTTTATTTTATTTTTTTTAAAAATTTTAATTTACAAAAAAACACAAACACACTATCGCACACACACATTTATATATTCAAATAAACACACACACACACAAATTATATAAATTAAACTACTATATTATCTCTTTTAATTATTTTTTTATATCTCAAACACACACTTAATATTAATATTTGATTTAATTTTATTTAATTTAATTTTTTTTAATTATAAATTTTAAATTTTAAAAGAAAAATAAAACAAATTTGTATTATCATTCATTTTGTTTTTCCACACATAGTTTAAGTTTTCTAAAAAATAAATAAATAGCACAAAAAATAAAAATAAAAATAAAAAGATTCCCAGTTTTTAAAAAAATAAATAATAAATAATAAATAAAATAAAATAAATAAAATAATTTTTTTTTTTTTTTTCCGTAATTAATTTTTAAAATTTTTTTTTTTTTAATTCTAAAGATTCCATTGTTTATCATCCCAAATAATTATTATTTTTTAAATAAATACATACATATACATACACTCACACATATAATTTGATTGATGGTAATTTTTACATTTGTAAGGTAAGTACCTATTATTTAACTATAAAATATATCCAAAAAAAAAACCAAACAAAACCCCTTTTTTTTTCTTCTTTTTCTCTTTTATTCATCTTTTTTTTTAGAAAGAAACAAATAAAATATTATTATTTATTTAAAAAAAAATTATAAATAAAAATAAAAAAAAAAAAACTAAAGAAAAATACAAAAAAAAAAAAAAAAAAAAAAAAAATAAATAAAATTAATTAAAAGGACTATTTGGGTTACAATTAATTTTTTATTTTTATTTTACAATTATTTTTTCTGTTTTTTTCTTTTAAAACCTTATTATTTTTTACAAATTTTTTTTTTCCATTTTTTTTATTTTTTTATTTTTTTTATTTTTTTTTTATTTTTAGAAGGGTGGATATTTAAAACTGTTTAATTTATGAAGAAGAAAATGGGTTTTTTATTTGCAGGATATTTCAAATAATTACAGTTTACAAAAAAAAAAATTCTAATTTTCTCTTTTTTTAAATTTATTTTTCATTCTTTTATTTCTTTTTTATTTTTATTTTTCTTTTTCTTTTTTTTTTTTAATATTTATAATAATAAAATAAAGACATGGCGAAACTGATTATAATAAAAATGGAATTTTACAAGGTCATTTAAATATACCATTAAATAACAAGGGTAGACAACAGGCGGTTTCAGTTGGTCAGAAATTATCAAAAGAAAATGTGCCAATAAATTTAATAATAACATCAGATTTAGATCGAGCATATGAAACAGCCACTATTATCAAAGAACAATTGGTAAAGCCTGATCATAATAATATTGAAAATAGTATCAGTAATAATAATAATAGTAGCAGTAGTTATCAATGTTTTTCACCCCCTATTGAATCAACCCAGCTACTTAGAGAACGTAATCTTGGTAAATTGGAGGGATTAGATCTTCGACATTTGGTTCATTGGGAAGAGCTCCCAGAGTCAAAAAGAGCTGTAGAAATCCAAAATTTATTAAAATCACAAACTCCACAACAAATTCAATTACAAAATCAATTACATCAGTTAAATCAACAACAACAAAAGACCTTAAATAATGAAACCACTTTTATACAATCAGAACCATCATCACCAAATCTTTCATATACAAATACATATTCAGCAAATTCATCAGCACCATCATCGCCATTAAGTTTATCAGGCGCTTCATCATTAAATACATCAACGTCATCATTATCATCCACTCTTTCCAACTCTTCATCTACATCATCATTTTCCTCTTCATTATCATCATCACTAGAGATACCAATATCTCTAACATCATCATCAACTCCAACCAATGTAAAATTAACATCAAATATTTTAAAGCACCTTCCACATAAAGAATTAAAGATGGAGTCTAAATCAAAATTAATTCGTCGTGCCAAAGATGCTTTTCAATTTATACTCAGACAAATACCTTCAAAATTTATAAACGAGGGTAACTCTTCCTCATCATCAACGTCATCTACATCATCACCAATTGATGAAATGTTTTTACCACCATCATATAATTCATCGATATCACAACAAAGCACACCATCTACTTTAAATCAAACATCAAATTTCCATATATTGGTTGTTTCTCATAGTGTTATATTGAGAACACTACTATCACTTTTATTATGTAAAAAATCACCACCTTTATTTTGTACCAACCCAAGTTCAAACAACGGTCTAGTTAGCCAATCCGAACAGTCTTCAACCCAAAATTTTAAATGGATTCAATTTGAATTAAAAAATGCATCCACCATAAGAACCAGTTTTAATATTATCGAAAAAAAATCAAGAGACTCAATTAAAAGAATCCCAAGAGAAATAACTTTTTATCCTGAAACAAATAATAAAGCAAATAGTAATAGTACAAATAGTAATAACAGTGCTAGTAGTAGTATTAAAAAGCAATTACCCGTATCAACTAATAATGTTGTCGTTATTGAACCTGTAGATATTAAAAACCAAACCATCAATAATAACAATAATAGTAATATAAATAGTCCAAATAATAACAACGATATAGTTGGTATTACACAAAAATTTCAAAAAGCCTCAATAAATACCGAAAATGAAGAGTAATCAAATTGTATATTTAAATTGGTATATCCCCATTCTGTAGTTTTCAATATATTTCCAAAAAAAAAGTGTGTTTTTTGTTTTATACACAAAAAAAAAAAAAAAAAAAAAAATCAAATTATTATTTGTTTAATAGTTTTTTTTTCTTCAATAAATAAACTTTATTTTTTTATACCTTTTAATTTTTGATTGATTAACTTGAAGCAATTTATTTATTTTTTTATTTATTTTTTTTTTTAATTAATTTTTTTAAAATATTTTTTTATTTTTTTTAATTTTTTTTTCATTTTCATAATTACTTTTTTTTTTTTCTTTTTTTTAAAAATAATTATAATTATATATATTGTATTGTATTTTTTGTAAATATTGTTTTCATTTTATTATTTAAATATTTATACCTCTATATAGATTTGCATTTAAATAAAATTATATATATATAATTTATAAATTATATATAATTTTATTTTCAATATGAGTTCAACATCAAATGAAACCAATTATAAAATGATGATGGAATCATTACAAAAAGAAGTTAAATCATTAAAGAATAAATTGGATACATACGAAAGAGAAAATAAGGATTTAAAAAAGTCAATTTACGATTTAACAGCAAGATATGATATGGTTTCACATCAATTGGGTAAAGGTACACAAAAGCCATTCAATATTGATGCAGTTTTGGCACCACCATCAACGCCAGAATCAAATTCAGTTACAGGTTTCATTAGCGACTCATTACAGATCCAATCACCACCACCAACTTTAGTATCAGATTTAAGCGAACATGATAGATTAATGGGCTTATCATCACAACCAAGAAGTGGTAGCAGCAAGAAAATGGATGAACGTCACTTCTTTTATAAATTCACTCTTAAAGGTCATAGTGCAAGTGTTTATACAATCGATTTTTCACCATGTGGAAAGATGTTGGCTTCTGGTAGCTTTGACAAGTCTGTTAAAATTTGGGATGTTTTCAATCAAAGAGAAATTACTACTTTTAGTGACCATACAGTAAATGTTAGTGTATTACAATGGAATAACAATAGTACCGAAATCATATCTGGTTCTTATGATAAAACTGTAAAGATTTGGGATTTAAATGGAAATCGTCTTTCTTCTTCTTACAATACAAGCGGTTTCATTCTAGATGTTAAATTTTCACCAATCGATAATAATATATTTTATGTTGGTAACACTCAAAATCACATTATAGCATTCGATAAAAGAGCTCCAAATGCAATTACAGTTTTGGAAAACGATTCATTAATTAATTCATTGTAATTATATTTAATATTAATAGTTTTATTTTTTAAAAAGTGTTTTACTAATTTTCATTTTCATTCTTTTTTTCTTTAGATATATATTTAAAGATGGTCAACATGTTTTAACAGGTGACTCATTTGGTAAATTAAAAGTTTGGGATTCAAGAAAGGGTAAAAAGATCACATTCCCAGAATCATTTCATTATGATGGTGGTGTTGATGGTTTAGCAGGATCACATAAACAAAGTGCAACTAATTCATTAGTAGATACATACGAAATTGCACCAGAAAATAGACCAATTTCAGGAATAACAATGTCAAAAGGTAGCGAAGATGACGATGGTAGATTCTTAGCAGTAAATAGTTATGATAATGTTATTAGAGTTTATGATCGTTCAAAAGCCTCTATTGTATCACATAATCCATATTTATTATCATCAATGACACTTCAACATTCATTAACAGGTCACAAAAATAAGAATTGGCCAATCAAGAGCAGTATCTATGTCGGAAAAGACTTTAATCATCTTTCAAACACCACTGTTAAACGTAGTGAAGATTTATCAAAAGACGATGACGAAGATGAAGATATTCAACCTGATATTAATCAATCTGTACTTTTAGCAACTGGTTCCGCTGATTACTCTGCTTATATTTTCGATATTGGTCTTTCAAAACAATCTGGTAAAGTAATTCAAAAACTTGAAGGTCATACTGATAGAGTTTATAGTGTTAAATTTCATCCATCAGAACCAATTTTAGCTTCGTGTTCCGCTGATAATACAATTAGATTTTGGACTCCAAAGAAAAAAATATTTAATAATTAAATACAATAAACTACTTTTAATAAAAATACTTTCAATAAAAAAAATTATAAACCTCACTTTTTTAAATTTATTGAATTTTTAATTTTAAAAAGACATGGGACATCACAAAAATAACCAAACTAAATTTAATAAACATAATTTAAATTTTTTTTATTTATAAAGTTTATTATTTATTTTTTTAAAATTGGTATTTATTTTTTAGTAAGAGATTTTTTAGTGGAAATAGTGGTGGTGGTTTTGGCAACTTTTTTAGCAACTGGTTTTTTTTCTTCAATAACTTTTTCTTCTTCAGAATCATCACCTTCGTTATCAGATTCTTCAACTTTTTTAATTGATTTTTGTTTAGCCATTGAAGTTTTTTTGGTGGTTTCTGCTTGTTGTGGTTGTTTGTGTTCTTGTAATTCGATTTCATCCTTTAAATTAAATAAATTTTCAATACCTTTGAATTTAGTTGATTCTAATTTTGATTTTGATTTCTTTAAATCAGCTTGAGCTTTAACTTTTTCTTTTGAATCATTTGGTAATGATTTTAAGAGATCTCTATAAATATAAACAGTATTTTGATTCTTTAAACATAATTCGATCCAATTGAATTTCTCTAATAATTGAAGTGGTAAATCAGTAGTTTTAATATGATCGTTTCTAAGTAAGGTTTGAACGTTGATGTGTTGCTCTTCAAGGAATTCTTCGGTTAAAACTTCAAGTACTTTTTTCATGAGGATCATTTTGTTACCATCGGCAAATTTAAGTGTAGCATTTAAAACTTTGGTACCCCATTGACTTGAGAGGAGATCTTCAGTGTGACTTGAACAAAGTTCGACAAGTTTTGGTGAAATAAAGTTTAATAATTCTTTTCTTCTTTGTTCACGATCTTTTTTGCTAATGCTGTGTTCAATACCGACTGATGATTTCATTGTTGGTGTTAAAAGTGAAAGAGTTTGTTCGGTGAAATTTTGTGGTGAATATGGAGTTAAAATGTGTAAAATCCAAAGACAACCTTGTTTTGTAATTGATGTTTCTGGTAAAGTTGGAATTAATTCGCTAAATACTGATTTAATAATCATTTGGGTATCATCTGTAACATCTAATAAACGAATTAAAGCTAAATAACCATATTCTTCACATGCAACTTTGGTAAAGAAATCTTTTAATGTTTTAATAATAGTTTTACGGGTTTTTGGTGAACCATATGAAACTACATGATAGGCAACTTGTGCACCTTCTTTGGTGTGTATCATTGGTAATAAAATTTCACTTAAAGTTTCTGACATATCAGTACAAGTATCTGGTTTTGAATGTCTAATTTTTAAAAAAAAAAAAAATTAATATGATGTTTTGTAATAATATTAAAAAATTTTTTATAATTTATAATATTTACCTGAATAAATCTAATAATAAATGTTGAACAATGGTATATTGTACTAAACGTTCACCTTTTGATGATAAAATTTTAGTTAATTGAGCTGAAAGGAAAGTAATGATTGATTCTTTTTTTTGTGGTGAGGTTTCAAGGATAGTATCTAAAGTTCTTGGGGTATCAGTTTTGAATAAACGATATTCTGGACCATAAAACTCTTCGACAATTTGGGTCTTTTGTAATTTTGAAGCGATTTCAGAGTAGATATATTCGACGACAGAGGCAGATTCTTTATGTGAAAGTAATTGTAAATATTTGCCATTGTAAGCTTTGATAATTGAGTTTCTTTGTTCTTCATTACCATACTTTAAAAGTTTGAGGATTAAAAATCTACCATATTGACTCTTTGAAATAACAATTTCGTGATCTTTTAATTCTTTATAAATGATTGATTTTTGTTTTTCGTCACCATACTTTAAAAGAGTTTGAACGATTCTTGAAGCATCGTGTTTAACAACAACATTTAAAACATTTCCTTTTAATTTTTGAGTGAGTTGTTCGACTAAAACTGCTCTTTCTTCAGTTGATAATTTAATTTCTTTAATTTTAACCCATAATAATTTTAATTCTCTGACTAATGTGAAGTTGGTGTCGAATTTAGCTTTCTTTTCGAATTTTTCTTCTCTCTTTTCTCTTTTGGTTAATTTGGTCTTTTGAACTACCTTTTTATCTTCCATTGGCTCTTTGTTATTGTTATTATCTTTTTTGTTGAATGGTTTTTTGTTATTATTGTTATCATTTTTGATATTTTTTTTATTTGATGCTGCTGGTGATTTTTTATCGGTTGTGGTTGGTTTGGCCATTATTAAATTATATATATATAATTATTATTTATTTGTATATATAAATAACAAATATGAGTATTAATGTCAAATCAGATAAATAAAAAAAATTAATCGTTCGTTTTTTTTTTTTTTTTTTATTTTTAAAACCGTAAAAAATTAAAAAAAAAAAAAATTAAAAAAAAAAAAAATTCAAATTTTATTTTTTAATTTTTTTTTAAATAATTTTTTTTTTTAATATTCCTTTTATTTCAGATTAATAATTAATTAATTTAAAATTAAATATAATTGCAATGTCGCAGAATCAAAACAAGCAGCCAGCAGAACCGTTATACGATGAAGATGGTTTTGTTTTAGTTATCAAAGGAAAAAAAAATCGAATTTTAAAAGTTAATCAAAAAGTTGACCAAACAATAACAACCAATGATAATAAAAAAAATAAACAAATAAGAGATAAATATTTAGAAAAGCAAAATCAATTTACATCTAATTTCGTAGATAATAACCATAGTAATAATAATAAATCGCAATCAAACAATAAAAAAAATAAATTATTTGTTGATAAATTAACCGACGAACAACAATTAGAAAAATTATATAACCAATTATTAGATTCAGAAAAGAAGATGAAGGAAACTCAATTTTTTAAAGATATCATTGAAAGCCAAACCAATTTCAAATATAGCGAAACGGAAAACATTACATTATATGAACATATTCATGATATTGTTTGTTATGGTATTGGTGATTTTAGTTCCTCAAAAAAATGTTTGGATCAATTAGCTTATATAACATCAGTTAAATCAATATATAATGTAAGTATAAAATTTAAATAGTTTCCAAATAAATAATAAATATATTAATTTTTTATTTTATTTATTTTATTTTATTATTTTTAGATAACAGGTTCAATTTATATTTATGATCCAGTAATGAACGAAATTGAAAAGAAATTGGTAGATAAAATAGGTTTTAAATTAATAGAGGTTAATGAAGAGGGTAAAAGAAAAATTAATATGTCAATTGAAACAAATAATAGATTCACATTATTTTATATGCCTTTCTGCGGAAGAAAACTTTATGATAACGTATTGTGGGCAAATTGGGAGGATTTATCTAAAGTTTTAATTATTGGTAATAGTTTCGATATATATATAGATGGTATCAACAAAGTTGAGGATGATTATGTTCAATATAGCTATACAAGTAAAACTGCTGGAATCCACAACGAACTTTTGTTCCCAAAAAATTATCCAACCCCATATATATTCCACGATCTTTCAATTCATATATTCCCAAAACATCTTTTAAGCACCAAAGAAGATTCATTTTATTCAAAATCAAAAAATTTAGAACCACCCAAATTAATATTTGGTCCAGAATAAAAGAAAAAAAAGACAAATAAAAGTGTACACATTATGAATTCGAGGAATTTATTCTAAAACTTTAATTTAAATGAAATTCATTTAAATTGTTTTTTATTTTCATTTATTTAATTAATGATTGCCTGGTTTCTTTAAATCAAAGATATCTTTGCCATGGAGATGTGCCATCATACGTTTATCGATGAATGCATATTGAAGTGGAACATCAACATCGCAATCTAAATCATTTGCCACATGGATTGGCCAGTATGGGTCACGAAGGAAAGCTCTACCTACCGCTACAATATCACATTTGTTTTCGGCAATGCATGATTCTGCTTCATGTGCTTTGTTAACTAAACCAACACCCATTGTATAGAGCTTATTTGTGTTATTTTTAACTTCTTGAGCAAATGGCATTTGATAAAGTGGTCCTCCAACAATATGTTGGTTTGAGCTGTTACCTCCAGATGAACAATCTAAAATATCAACATCCATGTTTTCTAAGATTTTAGCTAAACGGACAGTGTCGTTGAGTTGCCATCCATCTTTGACCCATTCTACACAGGAAAGACGAACAGATAATGGTTTGCTTGATGGCCATACGGTTCTTACTTCTCTAACGATATCAAGTAAAAGTTTGATACGTCCATTAAAGTCACCACCATATTCATCGGTACGTTTATTTGAGCATGGTGATAAGAAACTTGAAATTAAATAACCATGGGCACCATGAATTTCTAAAAAGTCGAAACCACATTGTAATGCTCTACGTGCTGTGTTTTTAAAATCATTAATAACTGTTTTAATTTCTGAAATTGATAGTTCATGTGGTACTTGACTATTTTCATCCCATGCAACTTCACTTGGACCTACTACTTTCCATCCTTTAGGGTCGTCAAATGGAATACCTTGTTTTCTATGACCGAGAAATGGAGGTTCAGTTGATGCTTTTCTTCCTGCATGAGCAATTTGAATACCCATACGTGGACCAAAGATTTTGCAAAAATCTATAACTCTTTTTAATGGCTCCATTTGTTCATCCTTCCATAATCCACTATCACCATAGCTGATTCTTCCTTCTGGTGAGGTTGCTGTAGCTTCTAAAATAATTAAACCAGCCCCTCCTTTGCTATATATTATTAATATTAACATTAGTAAAAATTTTACTTTTTTTTTTATTTTTTATTTTTTATTTTTATTTTTTTATTTTACATACGCAAATGCACCCAAATGAACAAGATGCCAATCATTCATAAAACCATCGTTACAAGAGTATTGACACATTGGGGAAACTGCAATACGGTTCTTCATTGTCATATCTTTTATTGTAATTGGGGAAAATAATTGTGGTCTTGAAGTTGTATTTATTGCTCTACCTACTGAACCAAAATTCTTTGGAATGGTCCAAGGCTTTACATATTCGCTTATTTTATGTTGTTGTTCCATTTCTAATTATATATTTCTTTGTTGCTAAGATAATCTTCGAAATGAGTTAATGTTTTTTATTTTTTTTTTATTTCTCATTTTATAAATTTATGTTTTTAATAGATCCAATAAATTTCAATAGATATAAAAAAAAAATTAAAAAATAAAAATATATAAAATTAATAGATATAAAAAAAAAAAAAAAAAAAAAAAAAAAAAAAAAAAAAAAAAAAAAAAAAAAAAAAAAAAATAAAATAAAATAAAATTAAATAAAATTAAATTAAATTAAATTAAAATTTTATAAAATTATCTCTAAATAAAGATTTTTAAAAAAATGAAAAATTAAAAAAATCACCATTTTATTTTAGTATTAAAAATTGACATATTTAAAAGGTCAAATTTTACAAATAATATATAAAAGGTTTTTTGATAATCTAAATAAAAATATTTGTATAAAAATATTTTTTTTTGGGGTAATTTCTTCCAGGTGATACAAATAAGATAAATGATAAAATAATTTTTAAGTTATACATTTAGATGCACAACTTTGAAGTTTTTCATTACAATTTTTACCACCTTCAGATTCACACGAGTTATTTTGAAAAAGTTGATAAAAATAAAAAAAGAATAATAAATATTTAAAAAAATTCAAAAATATAAAAGAATATTGTTATTTATTTAAAGAAAAAATGACTTTTATTTTTAAATTTGTTATAGACTCTTTAATCTTTTTTTTTCTTAAGAACACCATACCCAGTATCTTGAATTAGATGATAATCACTCTTTAGGGAGAAGAAATAACTCAATTGTGGTCTTTTAGATGATTTCTTATGGGTAACAAAATTCTTACCATTTAAAAAGAATGGAATAGCCGAGTAATTGCTAGCAAGAGAAAAGACAACTGGAAATCTCATTTGGTTTGAATCAACTTTCCAAACCGAGATAATGTTTTAGATTATTGAGATAAAAAATCCTTTTTCGGTTTGGAAAGATGATTCAAACCAAATGAGATTTATGATTATTTAAATTATAATAAAAGGTTATCAATGGATTTAAAAATAATCTAAGTTTTTATTTTTATTTAAAAAAATATTTTTTTTATTTAATGTATTGCTTTTAAAAGATGTGAAGTCTATAATTTCCAAAGTTTTTATAAAGAAATTTTTAATATTTTCTACAATTTTGGAAAGAATAGAATTAAAGAAATAATTTTTTTTTAAAATTTTTTTTATTTTATTTTGCTTTTTTTTTATTTTTTTTAGATTTTAATATTATTATATATTAAACTCAATTATTAAACTAATATATATTTTTTGTTTTAATTGCTTTGTAAATAAATACTATTTGAACCATATTGTGATCTATTTGGTGATGCGAAAGAGTGTGGTGGTGGAGATCTGAATGGTGAGGTTACAGATGAGGTTGATGGTTGTGATGGATTTGTATTTGAGATGTAAATTCTTGGTTTATCATTATGTCTCTTTGATGCATAAAGACCAATGGCAAAGGTAGCAAAAATGATAGCACCTGTAACGATATATGGATGATTGGCTATAGCATTTGATGATTCTATATAGCTTTCATTATAGTTTGGAGTTGATGCACCACTACCCTTGGCATAGTTAACATTGATAGTATTCTTATGTTTACCACCAGCACTGCTAATATATAATGGAACTGATGAAAAACTAACCGATGGATTCATTGGTTGTACAACATATTTGTAAATGCCTTGTTCACTGGTGATGCCAGTTGATGATAATTGTTGAACTGATAATAAAGTGTTATCTGATGATTCTACAAAAATTGGGTTTGATGATTGAACGTTTAGAATGAATTGACTTTGTCTACCAGAGAGTTGAATGCTATTACCTTTAATATTGAGAATAGAATAAGTTGATTCGAATGGTAGATTAATTGTAGTTTCAAAGTGATAAGTCTTGTCAGAGTTTGAAACTTGAACAAAAAGTGTAACTTTATCTGTAGTGGAGGTTGGTTTACCAGTTGGTTGAACTACACACATATATTGCTCTTTACCATTAGTTAAAATAATCTTTTCGAAATAAGCATTTGCAAATGATGATTCTTGAATACTACAAATACCTTTAATATTTTGATTGGTTGATGATAAATCTGAAAATTCGTTATCGTTTTCAGTAAAGAATTTCAAATTGTATTGATATTTTTCGTTTGGATTATTGATAACTTGATTAGCAAAATCGACCTTAATATGACCAACTTTAGAAACAGTTATTTGAGTTTGTGATGATGGGTTTCTAATATAGTTAACTGTAGTAACACCAGCAGAATGAGCAGTAGCCTTGCCAGTTACTGGATCAATTGAAATGATTGATGGATTGCTTGATACCCAAACCTTTTCATCAGGAGCTGGAAGAGAGAAACCTCTTTGAGAAAGTTGATCCTTTGAAATTGAGAATTGAATAGTTGAACCAATATGGAGGATTGGTGAATGTGGTTCAATAAGACGACCAACAAAAATTTTGATATAATCATCTAAATGTGGCATATCTTTAACATAAACATGAAGAGTAACAACACCTGCACGAATACCCTTAACAGTAACAATTGAAGCGGTAGTATTTGAATCAATTGATGAACTAATGACACCAGTGTTACTAACCTCGGTACTGAAAACTGCAGAAGCTCCATACTCGGTGAAAATTTCACCAATATCATCACGTAAATAAACTGCGAATGACATGGAACCACCAACTGGGATAATGGTGCTGGTTGGGTTAATTGGGAGAATTTCAAGATGGGAGAATGGTTTTGAGTTTACTTTGATTAATTTCGATGTATCAATACGACCATCTCTAACGGATGAAACATAACAGGTACCAATCTTGTCGAGAGAAACAATCTTATTATCGCTAATATCAATAACATCTTTGCATGATGAATGACCATGACCATCCATTAATGGGAAAAATTCGATACCACTCTTATCAAGGTGGTTATTGATAATAAATGATGAAGCAGTGTTGAGTGGCAAAAGAAGAGATGTAGTTTGGATTGGAATATCGGCAATAATATTAATTTGGAGTGATACAGTTTGGAAAAGATGTTTGGTCTTGTCTGAACCACTATAAGCCCAAACATTGATTGAAGTGGAACCTGGATTTTTACCCAAAACACGGACACTGAAAGAACCTTCGGATTCGACTGTTGTATTGGCACGTTCATAAATTGGAAGAAGGGTAGCAATATTATTATCGAGACATTCCCATTTAAAGAATAAGTCAACAGTTCCATATGTGAATGGAGTTTCACCATTGGCACCAACAACACGAAGTTTAGCTTCATTACCAACCAAAATCTTATTGATACTGCTGTGAATACGGATACCGGTCATATTTTTAACATAAACAACAAGCTTATCTTCGCCAATAATTGATTTTTTACCAGTGATTGGGTCTACAATCATAGCAGTAGCAGTGATGGTGGCTTCACCAACTTTAGAGGCAAGTAATTCACCTGAAACATCTTGGTTAAGGGAAACAATTGATGGATTTGATGACTTAAATGAAACATCTTGACGAATTGGTGCACCGCCAGTCCAATGAATTTGGAAGAGACCACCTGGAACTAAATGAAGAATATTTGGTGAAACACGGAATGGTGGGAAAACTTGAATTTGAACAGTTTTTGAAGTTGCACTAAAGCCTGTCTTTGGATTGGTAATAATAACAGTGAGAGTAACTAAACCTTGATCTAAACCTTTAAGGGTAAATACTTGGTTATTGCTTGATGATTGGCTAATTGATAAAACATTTGGATTATCGATATTTGGTAAAATTTTCATATATTGATATTGAGAGCTTTCAAAACTATGACCATCTTGAGCAAAAGCTTTAACGATTAAATTAATTGAATCACCAACTTGAACCATATCTTGGACATCTAAATCAATTGAATGAGCTTCACTAACTTGAACGATGGCTGGTGATGATTGTTGTGAAGAGCTAATATCACTACCTAAACAAATATCTCTAACTTCAACTTTTATATAACCTTGTTGAAGTGGAATAATATTAACAAAATCTGAATTTGGTTGATATGAAAGTGATGCAATTTTGCTGGTATTTGATGAGAATGCAAAGTTTTTACTTCCACCAATAGCTTCAATTTTAAGATGATTCTTTTCATTGAGATACATTGTATAACGATCTGGGAATAAAGTAACACTAGAAAGGAGGTGGAGTTCAAGTGAAGATACCAATTTCTTTGAATCTAAAGATGGTGGTGAGTAGATTTTGAGTGATCTTAAAAGTTCTTGATTGTAACCACTGACTGCAACTGAAATAATAGCTTTACCTTGTTCTTTTGAAAGTGAAAGAGTTGAAAGATGATCTTTGGTATTGAAATCATCTAACCATTTGGCTTGGGTAGAATCTGATGAGGTCCAATCGAAAACCAATGAACTATAGTTGGTGAATTGTTTACCATTTTCGTCGTATACTGTAGCAATAAATGGTATATCACGGTTATTACGAATCTTATAAGTACCGATTTCTCCTGGTTTTTGTTTTTTAATTGAGAAAATGGTATCTTGACATGATGGAGCAGATGATTGTTCAATTTGTTTGCTTTCTTCTTCAGTTGGTAAGTTTACAACTTGGATTTGAATAGATGATGGTTGACGGCAATAATATGGAATGTTAATTGATGGGGCGGCTGGGAATGGGTTGCTAGCACTCTTTTTATTACCAACAGTAACAATAATATTTTGTGGAGCATTTGAATGTTTGAGACAAGTGACTTTAAATGAATTGCCATTACCTGGAGTGATTGAAAGTGAGTTTTGCTCATTGGTATTGTCTGGTAAAATAGTTTGGAAGTGAGTTTTTGGTTCTAAATACCATGGTTCTGGACCACCACTGAAATAAACATCGTCTGATGAACCCAAACTTAATAAAACTTCATTATGATCACTCTTTAATGGTGGATAAGCGAAAATACGAATATCTTCTTTCATTCCTTTATATTGAACTGAAATAACAGTTGAACCTTCTTTAAGAGCTAAAAATTCACGAGTTGAACATAAGTCACTTGATTTCTTTTGTTGGTCAACGTTATCCTGTGGTAAAATTTGGAATGATTTATCATCTTCAACTTTCCATTCTAAATTATTAATTGAACAAGAATCGAAATGAATTCCTTTTGGTAAATGCTTTGATAATAATTTAGTTGAGAGTGATAATTTTTTACCAACTTCGACCTCTACTTGAGATGGTGAGAAAACAATTTGGTCTGGTTCTTGAATAATTACAACAGCTTGATCTCTATTATGTGGATTCTTTTTATCTACAACAATTACCTCAGTTTGACCTGATGTAGTTTGACTAATAATACCACCATTTGTATCGACAGTTACAATAGCTGTATTATTACTATACCAATGATATTCACCTGAACCACCTGATGGTCTTATAGTGTATGTTTGTTTATTATTTGGTAAATATGGTAAATAAACAATTGGAGGATTTAAAGTAATTTGTGAATGAATGGTAACCATTTGTTCGACAGTAATTGGGTTTAATAATGGTGAATATTTCTTTAAATTAATATCCTATATTAAAATAAATGAATTAATAAAGAGTTTTTTTATAATATTTGATGGTGTTAATGAAAATATTTACATAAACTTTAAGTAATGAAGCTTTTAATTGAACTGAACCTTGTTTAATTGCTTTAAGGTAATAAGTATCACTTCTTTTTGGACCTGCTGGAATAACACTTGTTGGTAATGGTTCAAAGTATTCTGATGGAATAACAAGATCAAAAGTAATATCGGAACTATGAATTTTATGACCTGATGCATCGTATAATTCAACAACCAAAATATAATCTCTCTTTTCAATAAGATTCCAATTTGAAATTGGTCCAATAGATGATTTAATTGGTTCGATTTTGATTGCTAAATAGGATGGGTGGACAACATTAACAAATGCTTGAACTTTATTTTCCATCATTTTTTTATGTTGAACTTTTAAATCGGTACGACCTAAATCCAATGCCATGAAATTACCTGAATTATCAATATTACCAACTTTTGGATTACTTGATGACCAAATATAATTTGGATTTGGCAATGGAATATCTATTGAAAAAAAAAATTAGATTAATATTTGTACCTAATATTTAGTTTGAAAAAAAAAATGAATTTAACTTACTTTCTAAAACAGTTCTTTTTTTGGTTAATAATTGATATTGAATTTGAGTACCTGGAATAACGTAAAGTAAATAACTTGGGTTTAATTGGAGTGGCTCTAAAATTGAAATTGTAGTGGAATGAGAGATTTGGGCAAAGTTGCTGTCAGTTAACTTGGTTGTAATTTGAGTGCTACCAGTGTCAACACCTTGAACTAAAACAAATGAAGTCTGTAAACCTTCTTGCTCCATTTTTAAAGCAACATCATCCAATGGGAAACCTCTAAATGGTACAATTTGAATAATATTACCCGATTGGATTGACCATTCAAACTCTAAACCAATAATTGATGAAAATACATTTCCAACTGAGTCATAAGCTCTAACATTGAGTTCTTCTAAATCGTCTTTATACATTGTTTTGGTTGTGGTTTCGATAACAATAGATGAAATTTTATCTACAAATACTTCGCATTGTAATTTTTTACCAGTGGCTAAATAAAATAGTAAAAAAAATAATGTTAATATTCATATATTTGTTGTCTCTTTATTATTAAAGTTACCCACCTTGCTCTTCAGCATAAATAAAAGCTGAATTTCTCTCGGTACTTGTACTGGTTCTAACTAAAACTAAAACTGCTTTTGAGCATTTTTTTTGATTACTTTGGTTGATATCCCATGATAAATCTGGTGCACCGATTGTATTTGGGGTTGGTGGTGCACAATCTTTTTGTTCGTAAAGTGGGGTGATTTCGACGAGATCTGGATTAGTATTGATCCATTCAAAACAACCTTTGTTTGCCTCTAATTTATATGGCTTTCTATATTTTGATGTACTATATGGTAAAAGCAATGATACTGGTGAAATTGCATAATCGGTTTCTGCATTTACAAACAATATATTACTTTGTAATACTGTTACAAATAATATAAATAAAAATGATGATAATATTATAAATTTATTATTTATCATTTTTTTTTATTTTTTTTATGATTTGACTATTTTATATTCTAACTATATTATAAATAAAACAATCATATGACTATAGAATACATAAAAAAAAAAAATTTAAAATAAACCAATTATAACAAAACACACAATCACAATTATATATAAAACAAGCTATTTATTTCTATGATATGTGCACTATTACTATGATGTGGTTGTAATTATTATTTGGTTTTAAATGATGATGGAAGTCAATAAAAAAAATTTTATTTTTAAAAAAAATGTAAAAAAATTTGAAAAAAAAAAAAATTTTGAAAAGAAAAAAAAAAAAAAAATTTCGAAAAATTTATTTAATTTATTATAATAAATTAAAACAATAACCATAAATGATAATTTTAATAACTAAAAATAAATATTTATTAATTAAAAAATTTTAAAAAAAATCCAACCAATAAGGAATATTCAAATCTTAAATTGGTTTGTTTTTTAAACAATTTAAATAAATAAATATTACAAATTGAGAAAAAAAAGAGATAAACCATTCAAATTTTAAAAAGGAACAATAAAAGATGAAAAAAGAAATTGCGGGAAAAAAATTTATAATTTTTTAATTTAAAAAATTTCATCTGTGGGTTTCTTTTTTTTTCTTTTTTTTTTTTTTTTTTTCAAAAAGCATAAATTATAACAACTATAGTAGTAGATGTAATATTATAATGGAAAAAAGAGGTGAATATATTGTTGAAAAATTAAAAGAATTAGATTATAATAAAGCAAACGAATTGGTAAAAGTAGCTTTTTCAAATGCAGAACATTCAGACCATGACGAACATAATTTAATTCAACGATTAAGAGGAGAAGAATTATACAATAATGACTTTGAAATAGTTGTTAAAGATAAAAATGATAATAATAAAATTGTTGGATATGCTCTACTTTCAGAAATTAAAATTTGTAAAAACGAATCAACTCCACCATTTAAAGCAGTTTGTTTAGCACCAATAGCTGTATTACCATCACATCAAAAACAAGGGATTGGAAAACTGTTAATGAAGGAAATTGAAGAAATTGCAACTAAATATAGGTATCCTGCTATATCCATCTTGGGTTCTCCAAACTACTATTCCAAATTTGGTTATGTGCCATCCTCCAACTTTAATATAAATGCAACTTTTGACGTGCCAAAAGAATACTATATGATTAAACCTTTATTTGACAACTCTTTGTCAAATATAGAAGGTTTAGTTTATTATCAAAAATCTTTTGGGATTTAAATAAAAATAAAAATTATATATATGGTAATAAATTTATTTTTCAAAAAAAAAAAAAAAAAATTTATTTTTTTAAAATTTTTTTAAATTTTTTTACTTTTTTTTTTTTTTATTTTTACAATTTCTTAATTTTCGATGTATATAAATAATTAAATAAAAACGAATTAAAGAATGAAATATATTAAAAAAAACAATAACAATAACAATAATAAACCAAAAGTACAAAAAAGTCAAATTAATATACCTAAAGAAGAATATAACCAACTTAAACAAGATTTTAAAGGAATAAAAGATAAAATTAAAGCAGAAGGAAAAGAAAAAAATGAAAAGTTTAAAAAAGAGACAACAAAACAGGTGGCTGAAAAGAGTGCAATTATAGGGCAAAGTTTTGGATTTATAGCACCAAATATTAGAAATGAAATTATAAATGAAAAGATAGACAGACCATTTCAACTAATTTCATATGGTGGTTCATCAAAAGAATACAAAAGAAAGAAAAAGGAAGAAAATAGATTAGAAAAGCTAAAAACAAAGAAAATTGGATCTAAAAAGAAAAGAGAAATTGGTTTTTACCATATACCATATGAAAACTGTATATATGATCAATATTTACCACTACACGAACTTTGGCTTCAATACATTAAAGATGTTATGCAAAACCAAAAAGGTCCAAATTTTTTAGCAAAGTTTTTAAGAGCTGACCTTCATGGTGCTTTTATTACAGTAACAAAATCAACTTGCCCATCACTCATAGGCCAAAAAGGTTTAGTTATTCAAGAAACTGAAAATACTTTTAAAATTATAACAAAGGAAAACAAAGTTAATAGTAAGATTCACCTTTTTTTATTTACTTCCAAACTCACATATATTAACACCCATTATTACTATTATTTTAGTTATTCCTAAAGAAGCATGTTATTTTTATATAGAATGTTGTGAACAATCAATCACAATTATTGGAAAACACTTTTGCTTTAGAGCATGTGATAGATCCACCAAAAAATATAAAGCTCGTAAAAATATAGAATTATAGACCACACCTGCAAATAATTAATAAAAACATTGTAGTTTAAAATATTCTTAAAGTTTTAATAAAAACCTTTCATATATTTTTTTAAAAAAAAATTTTATTTTTTCAACACAAAATAACAACATCAATCCATCATTCCCAATTCATATTCGCCCAATAAGCTATTTTTAATTTTTTTAATTATAACGACAACATTTTAGATTTTTTTTTAATTTTTTTTTTTTTTTTTTATCATGAACTATTTTTAAAACCCTTGACCAACACAAATTTGTCAATGGTATTAAAAAAGAACGAATAATTTGAATGTATTTATAGTGCAAACATAATATTGAATCAAAAATATTATCATTCAATGAAAACTGCTTATAACTTAAATTTGATTGGGTATATTTTGATTTGAAATTCAAACGCTTCTTTTATTTTTTTTTCATTGTTTTTTTTGTGTTAGTATTCGCTATCAAATTTTTGGTTTTATTGGTTGAAAAAAAAAAAGATCAATTTAAAAGGTTGGCCAATGAAATAAAAACTCTCCTAAAAAAATTTTTTTTTAAAAAAATAATTAAATTAATTAAATATTGGCAGTTTGGTGGGGAATGTGCGATGTGAATCAATAAAAATTAAATCAAAAATTATTTTTTTATTTATTTGAATTCTTGAAAAGTTAAAAACAAAAAAAAAAGGATGCTCTGATATGCTAGAGGTGCATTAAATAACTCATTGCTCGCATAAACTTTTGTCGAATGACCCATTTTTTCTTTTTTTTCATATCTTTTTTTTTTAAATATTATTTTTTTTTATTTTTTTTAATTTCATTAAATTTACAAATTTGTGCAAGGATGAACATGTATTGTGGTGTTGTTAAAAATAGTGTGAGAACGAGAATTTTTTGTTCACAAAAAAAAAAATCTTAAAAAAAATTTTTGATATCGCTTAATTTTTTTTTTAAATAACCAAGAAAAAATAAATAGATATTCTTTCATTATATTTTATTATAATAAAAAAAATAACAATACAATTATAAATAAAAAACCTGGTTTTAAAATATTATTTTTGCCCCAATAGTCATACTTTTTTTTTTATTTTTTTCTTTATTTTTTTCTTTTGATTATAAATATAAAAAAAAAAATCAAAAAAAAAAAAATTTTGATAGTGCATAAAAAAAATAATATCTAATTTGTTTTTTCAAAGAGAAGCTAAAAAAAAAAAAAAAAAAAAAAAGATATCAAATTACAATTATAACCAATAATAAAAAATAATTGTTGATTGGTTAATCGAGTTTGTTGATGATGATTTTCTTTGCTTTTTTTTTATTTTATTACTTTGATGGATGGAGAACAACTCCATAATGTATTTATAACTCTTTTAATTGGACATGCCTCTAATTTTAAAATAAAAAAAAATAAAAAAAAAAATAAAAATAAAAAAATAAAATGTGAAGTTTTTGCATCACACACTCACATTTTGCCACAAACAACACGGTTAAATGCACAGCACCATCCATTTTGGATAATTACAATTCATAAATGATTATTTTTTTAATCTTTTGAGCGCATCATTTGAGTTAACCCATCTTGTAAAAAAACAAAATCGTATGATTTGTCCCTCTTTGCTATGCCAAATCTCAGAAACTTTGCACAGATCTGATTTAAATCATATGCAAAAAATACTTTTTTTTTTTTTTTTTTTGAAAAATTTTTAAAAAAATGATTTTTTGTTGACTAATTTAAAAAAATAAAAAATAATGTGGCTTTGCAAATGATATAAGAAAAAAAAAAATAAAAAAATAAAATAAATTAATTTATTTAATAAGAGGAAATAAAATATCTTATATTTTTTATTACAAAAATAGCCCAACCCTCTAATTCACCAA